CCCCCCCCCCCCCCCCCATGAGTGTATCTACCAGGTCCTTGAAGCTAAGGCATTCGCAGTTTGTGGCAGACCCGCCTTGTTTTAGAGTCACAGTTTTCCATCTCGGATGGATTTTCTCAGTTGAGGTTATTGTTTTTGGGGGTGGGGGTGAAGAAATCCGAGCCTCTCCTCATCCATTTATGTTTCTGCTTCAAATGCCCCATCGTGTTGTTTTCCCTCCAGTCTCCTCCGGGGAATTGGTTTCCCTTACTTAAAGGGCAGAGGGAAGCAAACAGGAAATTGATGTCTTAATAATGGTGACAAGCGTGAGGGTCACTGGGATGAAAATGAAAGCCGACCCTTCAGTTGTCCTCTGTGGTTTCTTAACGACTTGCTGCGGTTCGGGGTCCCCGGGCGTTTTTTTACATAAATGGAAAGCCAAACACTCGCTGGGTTTGTGGAAATGCCGGGCAGAAGGGCGGCGTTTCCCCCTGGCTCTCTGACTCCTGCCACTATGCCAGCGCTGGGCGCAGCCAACTGGGACTGAGGAGTGTCAACACAAGCCCAGCCTCATCCGCCCTGTGCTCACGCTCATCCTTAGACTTCAAGCTGCAGCCACCACAGGGCCCGAAAAGCTCAGCCTTCCCAGCGTGCCCCGCACACCTGATTGTGTCTGCTTTTCGCGGTCAGCCGGGACCTTGTCTGGGAGAGGAGGTTAAGGCCCTGTAGGCAAACGCTCCACCCCAAGCCTGGGTTGTGTTTGCTTGTCTGTCTGTCTGTCTGAACCTCGCTAAGCCGCCCACGCTGGCCTGGTCTGCATCTTTCGGCCGTGGCTCTGGGTTTCAGCCTGCTCTGTGCCTGGGAAAGGGGCAGGAGTGGAGCCGGCAGGCTGGCCTTATCTCCTTAGATTGCCTGGTCCGTGTATTTTTAAGGTGCTGGAGACTGTCTGCTTTAGGTCACTGTTTTGCACACGGAAGAAATGTAAAGCACAGTAACCCAGAAGTGAGGTTTGCCACGTTAGTTACAGCAGAAAACAATCCTGTTGTCACACGGGATCCCAGTTATCGGGAAGCAGGCCCGGAGTCCAGGCTTGTGGCAGGATTTGTTTCAGGATGGCTAACACTTCAGTATAGCGCAGTCTGCCCCTGAACACACTCACACACAAACATACACACATTCATACACACTAACAGCTCACACAAACACATAAAAACTCTAACGCACCCTCATATATCTTCACACACATATTCAAACATATTCACACATTCTCACAGACCTTCAAGCAGACATGTGTACATTCACAGACACTCATCACCACACACTCATGTACACTCACACACATGTTAGACACACACACACTCATACTTAGACACACACACTCATACTCACACACATACTTAAATACACACACATGCTAGACGCACTCTCATGGACATGTGCTCACACAGTGACCCCCCCCACTCATCTCCATACACCCCCCCCCACTCAAACACAAATCAAGCACACATACCCACAAGCTGAGACACCTACCAACACACACAGACACACATGTAATCGTTCCACACACTCATCTTCACAGAACACAAACACACGCATCACTATACATTTACACATTAACAGACACACTAACTCACACTCATACACCCATACCCTCCCACACAAACTCTCACACACTCACACTCTCCTACACACTCATTCACACCTATACTCAGATTCATACACACCATCACACTTAAATGCGAACATTCGCACGCACCAACACATTCACATATACTCTCCCACACGCAAACGCACACTCAGGCACACGCACGCATTCACACGCACACTCTCACACACACACACATACCCTCACAGGAGACTCACACATACTCAGACACATTGTCACACACCCACATTCCCACCCGCACACTCACATTCAGACACATACTGTATTCTGACCAACACTCAGACGCAAACACGTCCACCTACCCAAATACACCAACTCACACTCACACTCCCAGGCACAGTCCCCCGGTTGCTTAAACCATCTGCTTCTTTCCATCGAGCGGATGTTTTCCAGAAGTCCTGTTTGCTTAGGTCGTAAAGGCCGGCTCGACTCCCCTGGTTTTCACTTCTGCCCCTTCCCTCTCTGCTTCTGTGGGGATACGGCCTCTCATCTTTCCCGTTGACTCTCGTATCTGAGACAGAGCGCCACGGAAGTTAAGTTCCTTGGACCGAAGCCGAGAGCGTCAGCGAACTCTGAGTCTTAGCTCATCTTCTCTGCGAGTCCCAGTGTGCTTCTGTGTCTTTGCCATGAGTAATCGCTGCTTTGGAACGCTCGGTGGATCTGCAGTGGTAAGAAATTATGAATTTTAAATCAAAGCTCTGAAAGTATAAATTTCTAAGCAACAGATTTTTTTTTTTTTAAATCTTGACAGTTTGCTAAAATGTTTTGGTTTGAACTCGTCATTCTGATTAGGGTATATATTTATAGATGTGTGCATTTATGTATAAAATACATGTGTGTGTACTTTTGAGGAGGGTCTGGGTGTGTAGGGTCTGGCTGGCCTTGAGTTCAAGGACTCTCCCGCCTTCACCTCTCAAGAGTGTTTGGCTCTGCTAGGCCCCACAGATTAGGAAAAGCTATGACTAAATAAAGTATGACTCCTCTGCCCCAGGAGAAGGGATTGGCTTGTGATCTTGGTTCACTTCTTATCAGACTGATTTTTTTTTTAATCAGAAATAAGCATATTTTGAGTCATACAGAACAACCGAATAGATCTATAGGTGTGGAGCAAAGAGTTGCCCTATGGTAACGATGGGAATGTGCCTCCTGGAAGTCCTCTCAAGGTTGGGGGCAGCAGCTGCCAGCCTCCAGTGGCTCTACCCTTGGGTTCTGCCTTACTTTTCACACGGAGGCTCCTCTCTCACCAGTCTGTGCTGACTTGGTGACTGGAAATGACAGGAGGGCAGAGCTGGCCACGTCCGTTTAATGTGAAGCTTCTCAACAGACTGCCCAGAAGGCCTGGCTGAGACTGTAGCTGGGGTCACCGTCATCTTGGGTTATGGCTGCAAGGCCCTTCTCCTTCCCCGCCTCTTTCACAGGGGGGCAGAGCAGGGCGCATCCCGAGGACCTCAAGGCCGGATCCTGCTCGTTCATTCTTTTCTTTGTCTGACTTATTTCTCCCCTCCCCAGATCTGTGAGATTTCCAGTTCTTCTCCAGCACCTGGGTCAATCTCTTGCACAGTCGAAAACACGTGTGTGAAAACACAGCAGCAAGCATCGAACTCATTTTGCTGATGGCATTTAGTGACTGTTTTATGATTCATTTCGCAGCTATCAACATTTGCTACTGGACAATACTAATGCAAAAAAAATTATATGGTATGTGTGTTTGGCTCGCACGCATGTAGTTGAACTAAACTATGCGTGTGCCTAGGAGCTGTGGAGGTCAGAAGAGGACCCTGGGTTCCCTGGAGCTGGAGTTATGGATGGTTGTCTTTTGTATGCTGGAAACTGAACCTGGGTCCTCTACAAGAAAGACAAGTGCTCTTAACTACTGAGCCACCTTTCCAGCCCCAACTAACGTTTTAAGAAGCGGATATAATAAAAACATTTAAAAAGTGAAGATGATGTAACCCGAGCAATTGGGAGTGGGAGGCCGAGGCAGGAGGATCATGAGTTCAAGGGCAGCTTTGGCTCTGTAGTGAGACTGTTCTCAAAACAATCTAATACCTCGACTGCCAGCAAAAAAGAAAACAAAGACACAAGAGAGAACAAAAAGGAAGATATTCTATCCACAAATTCAAATTTTGGGGAAGGGAGGAAGACTTTTCTTTTTTTTTTTTAAGTAAATTCTTTAATTTTTTTCTTTTATTATTATTTATTACAATTTATTCACTTTGTATCTTGACTCTAGCCCCTCTCTCATTTCTTCCCACTTCCACCTTTCCTCCCTCTTCTCCCCTTATGTCCCTCCTCTAGTCCACTGATTTGGGAGATCCTCCTCCCCTACTATCTGACCCTAGACTCTTATGTCTCATCAGGACTGTCTGGATCCTCTTTCTCTGTGGCCTAGTTAGGTCACGTCACCAGGGGGAGGTAATTATAGAGCTGGCTACTGAGTCCATGTCAAAGACAGCCCCTGCTCCCCTTACTAGGGAACCCACATAGGGACTGAACTGTCCATGAGCTACATCTGAGCAGAAGGTCTAGGTTCTCTTCATGCATGGTTCTTGGTTGATTCATCAGACTCTGCAGGACCTCCTGAGCCCAGATTTTTGGTTCTGTTGCTCTCCTTGTGGAGCTCCTGTCCCTTCTAGGTCTTTCTGTCTCCCCCTTCTTTCATAAGATTCCCTGCACTCTGCCCAAAGTTTGGCTATGAGTCTCAGCATCTACTTTGATAACCTGTAGGGTAGAGTCTTTCAGAGGCCCCCTGTGGCAGGCTCCTGTCCTGTTCCCTGTCTTCTCCTACTTCAGATGTCTGTCCTGTTTGCCCTTCTGAATGAGGATCAAACCTCTTCCCCAAGGTCCTCCTGTTGTTTAGCTTCTTTAGGACTATATATTTTAGTAGGTTTATCCTATATTATATGGATAATATCCGCTTATAAGTGAGTATCTGACATTATTTTTCATAGCCACTTCACCTCTTTGTCAAACTTGAAAGACAATGAAAACAGAATCACAGTGACCACTATGTGGGTTTTAAAACTCAAGGTCAGAGATTGGATTGTCCCCGTTACTGAAAAACTAACCAAAGGATTCATGTCAACTAAATTCACATCTAACTACTGCAGAAATAAAATTCTAGTTAGCATTTATTTTTAAAAAGGTTTGTTTGTATTTATAGGTCTCTGTGTGAGGGTATGCCACAAAGGTGTGTGTACCAGCAGAGGCCAGAAGAGGGCACCAGAGCCTCTGGATCCTGAGTTACAGGTGGTTGTGAGCTGCCCAGTGAGGAGTCTCTGGAAGAGCAGCAAGTGTGAGCAGTAAAGTTCAGCCATCTTCTTATCCCCCACGTTAAGGATTATAAAAAGACATGTATCTGGGCTAATCAATCAATCAATAAAGAACAGCACCATTAAGAGGAGCTGCTAGCCTAGGATGGTAATCCCAGCTGTAATATCAGCATTCAGGGAGGCAGAGGCAGACGGATCTCTGCGAGTTTGAGGCCAGCCTGGTCTACAAAGCAAGTCCAGGACGGCCAAGGCTACACAGAGAAACCCTGTCTTAAAAAACTAGAAAAACAAAACAACACATACACACACAAACACAGGAGTTGCTGCTGTGTTTTCTTTCAGAATTCTTTTGTGTTCGTTTTGAGAGTGTATGTCTTATGAAGTGTGTGTGAGTGCCACGGTGTGAGTTTGTATTGTGTGTGAGAATATAGGTGAGTGTGTTGGTGAGTGTGTAGCTACACTTAATTCTACCACTAGAGATTTTCTCCCATCAACATACTGGTGCATATACTTTTCCAGTATTTTCAAGCATACAAACACAGAAGAACCTCTACCATCGGGCCTTTTCATCCAGTATAACTTGAGCATCTTCCCGTTGAATTAGGTATTCTGACACTCTGTAACATCTTAACCTTTTTCTTGAGTTTCAACATACTATACCAAAGTCGTGGTCTCTGCTTAGAAAAGTGAACCAGCACACAAAATGCTGTGTGAGTTTTTGGGAATTTCACCGTTTGAAAACCGTTTCCTGGCCTTGCTTACTGCATTACAGGCAGCTGTACAGTTACACCACCTACCGTTTAAGTTACTGCTGCGACGTACCTGATTCTTGTACCTCGCCTGATTCTTGAAGCTTTTTCTCTCCACAGTAAACACATGCTTGAGAGCTTAATGGTCTTTATTGTAATGCTTTTTCCACACCTTGCACTTGCCACTTTGGTTTTCAGGATGAACTAGCAGAACCCACACTTTCGCATCTAGGAGGAAGTGGTTAGTTTTGGGAGGAGTAAAGACAGCAATTCTGATACTTGGAAGTGGTTCTGAAATTGTGATGGCTTTCTTTACGAGAAACCTCCAAGATGAGCTAGTTTCAACTTTGGGGAAATGAATTTGACCTTTAAAAGTAGCCCCCAAATCTTTTATTGGTGTGATTAGGTAAACTGAGTAACAATATTCTGGCTGCTTCTGAAAGGTACATTAAGTGAGAAGGTTTTCTTTTTTTCAATGAGCTTTCCAAGGGACAACAAAGAAAACATTCATGAACTAGTAGGTAACTTTCCATGATAATGACTTGAAGTTAGAAAACTCATGTCTATCACCATAGATCTGTATGTGGATTAGTCCATTTTCTGTTACTGAAACAAAGTCCCTGAGGTTTTGTAACTTTTTAAAGAAAAAAAAATATTTGCTTGTTTTTCTATTTGTTTGTTTTTCTGAGTCAGACTCTCACTTTGTAGCCCAGAGTGGCCTGGAACTTACTGTCCAAAGAGAGGCCTATTTAATGTCCAGGCCTGGACATTGAAGGCACAGCAGTGGCAGTAGCAGCTCAGGTTTGCTGAAGCCCTCATAGTGGAAGGTATAATAGCCACAGGAGCTTGTACAGAGGGAGAGAACACTTGGTCAGACTGGAAGCTGAAGAGCCATCCAGGGGTTGACTTTTTTTTTTTTTAGAACAACTTGTCTCATAAGAATTAACTCAGGAGTCCCAAAGAACTTCCTTCATCCATGTTGAGAGTGCCTCCAATGACCTCATGACCCCCAACTGGGCCCCACTTCTTAATGAGAAATTTCAGATTTTAAATCTCTGGCCACACCATTGCCTGATGGACAAATGGCCTCTTACTACAGGAAAAAAAAAATCACTGGTGAAAATCATATTGAATGAGCTAGCTCTAAAACAAATAGATCGAGAGTTCCTTGGAGGCAAGAGGTATATATGTCAATCTTGGTATTTCTGGCAACAGGACACATACTTACAAATATATTCTTATATGAATACTTGCAACAAATGAGCAATGCCAACTAGAAATAAAATTTTATTCTAGCTCTTGTACCTCAGGTCACTGCATTGTATGCATAGAGTCTGCATGTCTAGCTTAAGGTAAGTAGTAAAGTTTACAAGTATTTATCAGGTTAGGGGTATACCAGATCAATTAGCATGATTCAGATATGTGTGAGCACACATTCTGATTTTGGTTGCAAACTTATCCTTCGAAGGAAGAAATACAGTGTTTTCTAATTATTCCGGGCTTAAAGGAGAAGCTATCCACGTTTCTTAAAAATTATTATTGTCTGCCCCCTCCTCTTTGGAGACCTCCACTTGTTTTCCTTTGTCTTTTGAGATCTCTACCCTGGGTCCCCAGGGGACATTGACGTTGACAGAGAAAGACCAAAGG